CCTCCCTTCCCCCAAGAACGAGTATAAAAGGACGAGCGCAACGCGAGGGAACTCAGTATCAGACTATCAGAGTCTCCCAGCTCTGATGAAGCAGACTGCAACGCCTGCGAAACGTCGGCACCACACTGCAAACGGACGCGGCAACCATCCGGAAGCCATGAAGACTAGAGTAAAGATATTAGAAACAAAATATTGCAAACTTGTAATGGGCTATGTAGATGCATATTGAAGAAAAATACGTTTTAGATTAAAAGTGACGAGAATATCACCTGAGTAATTTAATTACAAAATATTGTATTGATACTTGCCATCTGTAGGATAGTTATAAATGGTTTAATGGGAGACATCATCCGTTGGAGATTCGGACTCCATGCAGAGATGAAATAGTACATGTACATGATTACATGCACAATACAATTGACTATTGTGACATACGCAGTTCTTACGTCCATAAAGTATTTTAAAGCAATCCACACAAATGTTACATTAGATATATGATGATACACGTGCAAAACAGAGACTTGGTTTTGTTTTTTCCTCAACACAAATATGCACGTTTCGATGAAATCAAATATTTTCAATAAGAGTCCATACCATCCCGCTATATGCAACTGAAATATAAATTATATAATATATACACAGGGTGTCAGACACGTTTGTAGCCAAAATAAAAATTACGGTAAATATGTAACCAAGGAAAATGAAAAGTCAAGATGATGGTAATTTGATGTCATATTGATCAAATTTATGCCATATTTTGGTCACTATGACATCAAATTGACGTCATCTTAACTTTTCATTTTTCCTTGGGTATATGATAGCCGAAATGATAGCCAACAATATAAGAATTAAACTATTGATTAATTGTAAAATCAATTATCTCTTTCAGAAACTTAACATACAATATCCGAATAAATAGACTTTTATTTATAATAATTGTTTCTTTGTGTTATAACTGAAATACATATATTCAATGCCTATATCAGTATCATTTCTTTAACCAGGCATTTTCTGCTTCTCTGTGAAATAATATTTTATTACAAAATGTAAACGTACTTCCCACTTTACACTCTGTAATGTGTGAATATAATTGTAAAAAGGAGTAAACAACCCACATCAAACTGCACTTTTAGATAATATAAGTTTGCCAGAATTTGAATTAAGTCATAAATTAATATAAAGGCTCTCAATTTATATGTCGGTCGATTGTTCATGTAGCGAGGACCAGCATAAAGACCAATACAATGTTTTTATATACTGTAGCTTAACGATAATTATTATATTGTGAAAACGTACTTTAGGAACATCAAAGATGCTTGCATACTGTCTCCAACAGTTTTTAACGCTGATTTCTGTCAATATGACAAAACAACCGGCCTCATACTGCTGTTTTAGCAACCATAAGTTTGCCAGAATTTGAATTAAGTCATAAATTAATATAACGGTTCTCAATTTAAATGGCGTTCGATTTTTCATGTAGCGAGGACCAGCGTAAAGAACAAAATATAAATATCCCACAGTTAGTAGCAATAGTGGAAACGGCGAGGATACGAACCAATCACGACTTACTGGGTCTGCAAAAATATAATCTTTTAAATAGTGTAATAACCATTTTTTCTTCACGATCTTTTTCGATAAAACTTTGTTATCAATACTTTCAAGTATACGATATTATAACGATCACTGTTTTAGTAATTAACAAATATTTCTTTTAATCAATTCTATTTTGATACTACTTCTATTTTGATACCTAAAAAATTGTTCTTATAAAATACGAAATAATAAAGGATATAAGGGCCAAGACAGGATGTTAGTGTATAAATTTAAATGATTTTAATTTTTGAATTTATTGAGAAAAATGTACCTCTGTCAGGGTTTGAACCTGGATTAGTTTAGACCTGAATAAACAGTCTAAAGTTGTTATCGTGAAATACATTTCGACTGTTTATTGCGATAGAAATTACCACATGCCTCTGTGGTCAAGTTGGTAAAACGCCCTCCTAATCAGAGGGCAGTGCAGGTTCAAACCTTGACTTTGGTACATTTTCCGCAATAAATTTAAAAATTAAAACCAAATTTAGAATTGTTGTATCGCCAGTAGTTAAAACAAAAATACTCGGGGATTAGATCGACCAAGGCTGGCAGTTTTATTCTATTTTAAATTTTACCACGACGTTTCGGCCAGTAATACTGGTCCTTTTCAAGTGGATCCTATAGCTTGTGACAACGAAGCATCTACAAATCAATTACTTAGTCAAAATATAAAACGGTAATAACTTGTAAAACTATAAATTATAAAATATAAAGCGGTGATAAATTATAAAAAGAACTACGAGTAAATTTCTCAGTCATAATATAAAATAATAAATTATAAAAGAAGAACTTACAGGAAAATATAAATTTAGGCTAATCGTCATCGCACATAGAAATATACGTCTTCGCACGTGTCATGTCACCAAGAGACTAAATAGTTGGAACAGAACAAAGGGACACTGCTAAGATCCTCTCGTCATGACATATAGAAGGGGACCGGAGAAACAAATAAATAAAATAAATGTGAAGTTGAAACTAACTAGGTGAGTCGAACGATTTTATCATATATCGTGTTCAGATTTTCAGTGTCTTTCTGGAGGTTAATAGTGTTATTAAATTTCTTGATAAAAAACATCTCTGCGATTTCTCTGCGTCTGTAATGTCGTTCTTTATGTAAAATTAGAGGATTTGACCAGTCAAACTCATGTCCGAATATTGTCCGATGTTTGCTTACGACAGAGTGATTTGATGTCGGTTTTTTGATGTCGTTGCAATGTTCCTTTATTCTCGTTGCAATATGTCTCTTAGTTTGGCCAATATAGGTCGCGTCGCAGTTAATACAATTAATTTTATAGACAAGTTCGGTCTGTTTCGTGTTAATTATTTTATCCTTCCCCTTTCTTATAATTACGTCAAGTTTTTTAGGGACAGTAAACACAATATTCATATTAAATTTGGATAAAATGCGTCCTATTTCTTCACTAATACCATTGATATATGGTATAGTGAGATAATTTCTTTCACTATACCATATATCAATGGTATTAGTGAAGAAATAGAACTTCACATTTATTTTATTTATTTGTTTCTCCGGTCCCCTTCTATATGTCATGACGAGAGGATCTTAGCAGTGTCCCTTTGTTCTGTTCCAACTATTTAGTCTCTTGGTGACATGACACGTGCGAAGACGTATATTTCTATGTGCGATGACGATTAGCCTAAATTTATATTTTCCTGTAAGTTCTTCTTTTATAATTTATTATTTTATATTATGACTGAGAAATTTACTCGTAGTTCTTTTTATAATTTATCACCGCTTTATATTTTATAATTTATAGTTTTACAAGTTATTACCGTTTTATATTTTGACTAAGTAATTGATTTGTAGATGCTTCGTTGTCACAAGCTATAGGATCCACTTGAAAAGGACCAGTATTACTGGCCGAAACGTCGTGGTAAAATTTAAAATAGAATAAAACTGCCAGCCTTGGTCGATCTAATCCCCGAGTATTTTTGTTAAAAATTAAAATCTTCTAGACACTATAATGCTGTCTTGGCTCTATATATCCTTTATTACCTCGTATTCGTGATTTCACGGCAAAACCTTATGAATTTTATTTGTATTATAAAAGGTTAATAAAAACGGTGCGCACGCACGCATGCACGCACATACATTTTTAGTAAATATCCGAATTATAATACAAATTTTATTTTTATTTGAAAATTGTATAAACATATCAAACTGCCATTAATACGATATTTCTTTATTTTCTTAGAAATTCTTGTCAATTTTTCATAGAATCCTACACTATAAATTATACTAGCATAAAATTAAAAAGATAGAATTACTTACGTGATAATCCTGTATTCCAATAATTGTATATTTCGAACAAACCCATTGTAGAAGAAATACAAGTAGTTTCACAAGTAGTCTATATATAAGTAGTATAAAATATGGAAAATATAGAATATTCCTTAATTGTGAACTTACTTTATTTTACTTATGATACTTATACGTATCAATGGTTACCTGTGTACCTTCGAAACGTTAGACCGATACTGTCCCGTATAGAATCACTACTCTATCAATAAAACGGTTTTGCTGAATTTAAATTTATGTTAAGTTGACATTCAATTCTAAATTCATGCTCCATTAATATAACATATATGTATATAGAATGAACTTATATGTATATAGAATGAACATTGAATGTCAACTTAACATAAATTTAAATTCAGCAAAACCC